AACGGAAGTAAGGTAAACGGTAACGTCGACTTACTTACGTAGTTGTCAACGCGACGAAGAGATACCGACGATGGACGGAACCTTCCCCGCCCCCCCCCCACCACCTTGGTTCCGCCCACAATCTCCCCAAGAATTGTGGCTCGAAAACGGGCTCTTCGACAGTTTCGCACAGAATCCCGCATACCATTGTCGTCGGGAGATCCTGGAGATTCTTTAAAAATTTCAAAAAGGATTGTGAGGTTGGGCAGTGCCTTTGATATGCAACGAAACCAGGTTTTTCAGTGTCGTTCAATATCGTATCATTCGAAAAGTGACGTGCGTAGAGAAGCTGCATGGATGTGCTCAAACATAGCTGCCAGCAGTCAGGATCATATGGATGTGAATTCACTGCTCCATTCCTATGCTGAGGCTGTTCATTTGATAACATGTGTGACTTGCAGTTGCTCTTTTTGGACTGGAACATATTCGCGATGCTTCTGGATGGCGTGAGATCAACAGAGAAAAAACTCAGAAAGGTATAGTCTTCGACGGGTTAAACGTACCGATTGCCGTTTCGTGCGAGCGGCTGCGGCGCTGATGCGAGGCGGTTGCGACGCGGCCCCGCTGAAAATTTTCACAAGCAACCCCTTAACAATTAACAGAGCAATTAAAACTTGCCGACATCAATGAGGCGTCGATCTTTGGAAAAACAAACTTTTAGTTACAGTCGTGATCATCTCATTTGGTACCATCGCTGATAACACCAAACAACCGCTTAGCGGTGCTACCGCGACGCGGTTTCGTTGAGCCAACCAGCACGTCCTGACACGTTCTGACATGCATCAAATAGATTCCAACGAGTACTAATCATGTTCTTCCATTAGGACCTGTTAAAGCCAATGTGATGCATGTCAGGACGTGTCAAAAATAGCGGGTTAACAGCGAAACTACGTCACGCCGGTGCTGCGTTGTGGTTGCGGACTGAATCAGGGTCAGCCGGCTATACTTAATTTTTTGATGACTAATGGGTCCTGAAAAATGTGATAGTTAGAAAATTGGAGCAGCTAACTGTTTAGGAATGCATGTGGACAATCGTCAATTTGCTTACTGGTGCAAATGAAGAAAAAGTACGACTAATGGTGGCGTCTGGTAAGGAGATGATTTTAATACATTTCGAAAAAAAGTTGTTCCTTGAATGGCTGGCTCTACCATAAACCATCTAGAGGGGGCGTCAATGGTTATTGCACATCTGGAAAGGAAACCGCACCGCGCCACCTA